CTCTTCTCTTCTCTTCTCTTCTCTTCTCTTCTCTTCTCTTCTCTTCTTTTCTTTTCTTTTCTTTTCTTTTCTTTTCTTTTCTTTTCTTTTCTTTTTCTGTGACCTGGGAGCCATACTCACAAAGTCCTTGTTAAGTCCAACAACATGAAGAGTTGTTGTGTGTTGCCTTCTAAGAGTTTTTTTGCTTTAGATTTCAAATTAGGTCTTTGATACATCTTGAGTTAAGTTTTCATGTGGTGCTGGGAAAGGGCCCAAGTTCCTTCTTCTGCATGAGAATATCCAATTTTCCCAGAACCATGTCTTGGGAAAACTCCTGACCTTCTTTTTAAAAAATGATTGGACCGTATGTGCTAGGATTTATTTCTGGGAGCTCTGTCCTGTTTCACTGTTCTGTGTCTATCGTTATGTCAACGCTACAGTGTTTTGGTCACTGTGAATTAGTAGCAGATTTTGTTATTCAAGATTATAGGCACCATTTAGGGTTCATTGATATGCTAAGTGAATTTTAGGATGTGGCCCTTTGTTTCTGCTGAACATGCCCTTGGGATTTGGACCGGGATTTGAGTCTGCAGATGGCTTTAGGAAGTATTTACTTCTTAACAAAATTGTTCTCTAACCCATGAACCTAGAGTGTGTTTTTCTTCCTTTATGTCCTCTTTATTTTAGCCTTGTTTCCACACTTTGCTCTACAATCCTTTCTCCTTCTTGCTTCATTCTTACTTCTCTCTCTTTTTGAGACTATTATTAATGTAATTGCTTTCAAAATTCCCTTTTCGAACCACACATTGCTACTGTAAAAAATGCAGTTGATATAAGTGTGCTGTCTTTGAATCTTGCGCATTATTGTTTCTATTGTACAAAATCCAACCTTTCTGTATGTGTGGAATCTCTAGGTGACTTTTAATGACAAGTCTCTGCATATTTTGCATACAAGTCCTTTTTCAGATAAATGTTTTATAAATAACTTCTTCTAATCTGTGACTTGTCAGTTGCTCAACAGTTTCTTTTATAGTGTAGAAGATTTTTTATTGTTGTTTTCATGAAATCTAATAAATCGGTTGGGTTTTTTTTTGTGCAGTTAGTGTTTTTGATGTTGTGTCTATAAAGTTAACATCAAACACAGTCACCTATTTTCTCCTATTTCATCTTCTAGAAGTTATTTCTTTATTGATTAAGAATTTCACACATGCATATAATTTGTTTTGATCAAGTATTTCCTACTTTCCAAGTATCCCTCCTACCCCACCCCATCACTGTTTCCTCCTAATTTCATATGTTCTGTCTTTTAAAACTCATGGAATCTACATAGTGCTGTGTAGTTTGAATTTTAAATGGCAGAGTGACACGTCTATAATTCATTTCACATTAATTTCTATGAGAGGTATGTGATCTATGTTTGGATCCATTTTCATTTTGTGTGTTCACCCAGTTATTACAAAGCCATTTGCTGAAAAGTCTCCATTGAATTGCCTCTGCTGCATTTCAAAGGTAATTTGTGTAGATCTATTTCTGTCCCATTGATTTATTTTCTATTATATCTTCAGTCCCAGGATCTCTTGATGACTGTAGCAGTGTGGTAAGTCTTCAAGTCAGGTAATGTGAGTCCTCTGAGTTTATTTTTCAGTGTTGTGTTAACTTATCTTAGTATTTTGCTTCTCTTATAAATTTTAGAACCTGTTTGTCAATATCCATGAAAGAACTTGGTGGAATTTTTGGTTGAAATTGTGTAGAATGATGAGGTCAACTGGGGAAGACCTTGGAGGCTGACAGTATTGATTGAGTCTCGCTCCTGTGAACACAAAGATCTCTCCATTGGCTCAGTTTCTTCTTCTTTCACAGAGGTTTTTGGCTTTTCTCATGTATACAACACACCTTTCCTTTGATTAAGTCCTATGTACATGATTTTTAGTGGTACTATAAGTGATATGCTATTACTAATTTCCAGTTTATCACTGATATTTTGGAAGGCTATTGAATCTTACATCATAACCTTATATTATGCAACGTTTCTATGTTCACAAATTAACTGTAAGTTGTTGAACCAACTTCTGAACCCAGAGTAGGAAAGTATTTGCTCTTCAGGAAAATCCAAGTGTATTTGGGTATCACATATAAATGTCACATTCAAATGTCTCACGTACATAGGTAATATCCATAATGGACACCATCTCAAGGCCAATCTAAGTGATGCTTATATGCAAACAAAAATGCTTATATT